AATATTCATTTTACTATAATATATAGAGGTGTCAATCCGGGTGGTCCGGGCCGGGTCGACACCTCTATATATTATAGTAAAATGAATATTGAAGAAATTTTAGACATTTTTGTAAATAATAGTATAAAAGTGGACTTTTTTTTTTTTAAGTTACTCATTTTAAAAATATCTATTTTTGAATCCATATAAAACTTCATAAAGTACTCGAATGGAGCGTGGTTTTGAATGTGAATAGTATTCGGCGTCACGGGGCTCGATACTCAAGGAAAAAGTAGTTGACTGAGTGATTGTCAGAGTTGTAACATGGTCTCGTCTTTCCCGCCGGCACTGCACAACTTCTATCCTATTTTTTCTTTTTACTTTTAGAAAACTACATTACAATTTAATTTTTACAAGTGCCGTAAGTGACTGTATGTTATTATTAGTAATTTCTTCAGAAAAATGGTATTAGATCTCAGTAATAAATCAATAGAAGTGAGTTTGTAATTAAAATTACTGTTTAATTTTAATTTATGAAACTATTTGTAATTTTGTAAAAAAAAAAAAAGAACAGAAGCAAAGGATCCTTGAAAAATTCTCCAACTACACAAGTATGTAACACGACATCGAGTTAGAAAGTCAAATTAGTTAAAATTTATGTTTTAATTCTTACCAAATATACACTTTTCAGTTAAGTAATTTGTGAATTTTATTTATATTTTATAACTTCTACTAAAGAAAAAAAAAACAAATGGCTTCATTCAAATTTAATAATAGGCAAATTGAATTTAGATCTTGATGTCAAGTACAAATCCAACCATAGTAAGGACACCTCCAGGCAGGATATCCAACACAATACTAAAGAACAGATCCTATTTAGGATAAATTCTACTGCTAATCCTTAACTAAAAGGCGGGTGGTAATTAGTCCACCTCTGCCAATTTTTGCCGGAAGTGAATGGACAAAAATAGTCCAAAAACCAGCCTCAGCAACACAAAGAACCCCCATAGATTGGGTGCCCTTTAAAAACCCACAAGGAAAGGGAGGCCATATTAAAATTAGACCTCCTCTAGACCCTAAACACCGACTTTATGACAGACATAAGAAACTATAAGACTACTATCAAAACATCATTAACTGCAGGGGCTAAGGCCCTTCACCGGAATTGGCTGCCGGCGAAGGTCTGTCCAAAAGACCAGCTTGCCGGAGCAACATTGTTAGAAACCACAGTGCGGCCATCGCTGGTGGTGACCTTAAACGAGAGGCTTTGGCCGTTGAGATAGTTGTTACTCTGCCAGTTTTGGCCCCAATTTCTCGACATAGTCTGCCAACCGGTTCTCGACCCCTTTATCGACACTGCATGCACATCACCGGCTCCACCAACGTTGGTTATGAGTACTAGATTGAAGTAGGAGTGGCCATTAATGGTGAACCTTATGCCTCCCTTTCTTCTGCAGGGTACCCTACAAATTAAAGTAACAATTAGTAACGTACTTCAAATGTGCACCAATTTATCACCAAAACAGTTGCCATCAAATATTGTGCCAACTCCTATCAGTAAATATTCATTTATGAACCAAGGACCACAAAAATCAATGTCGAGACAAACTTTAGCATGTGGGTGCAGTAAAAATAACACGCAATCGTCACAACGAATAACGACAAGACTTGAATTCACGACCTCATGTACCATACCATATCAGACAACTTCACCTAAATTAAGATGAAATTTAATGCTAAAAAGACAGTAATTAATCATATACCTTCTGTAAGCAACTGGGACAATTCCAGCTCTGTATTGTGCAATGTGTTGAAAAACAGGCTGAGCGAGGTCAAAGTGGTGCTGTGGAGGGTTGCACCACCCTCCTGCGTTGTTTGGGAGAGCATTATTTGGTGGACAGAAATTGGTGGCTGTGACCAGAATGGAACCAGGCAGGCACCATTGCCTATCATCAACACACCTAATCTCAAAACAAGACCCACAGCTCAACCCACTGTTGAACAGAGCTGTGCTTAAGGCTGCAGTGTTTGTACCGTAACCCTGGCTGTACAAATTTCCATAGCCACAAGCCCCACCTGCAAAAATTTTGCCAAGAGAAATGGTTAATCTAATTAATCATTGGCTTTCACTTAAATTAAAATCAAATTTTAAACATATTTTGATAAAAGTTCATGAAACGTATGATTAAAATCTTGTTCAGATTAAAATTAATTTCTGAATTTGACTTAAACTAGAATTTAGATTTTAATTCATAGGGCATATGAAGTACCCAATATACCCTTAGGACGAGAAAAAAGTGCATACCCATTGTTCCAGAGGCATCACTTCCACCATAGAAGGTGGCATGAGCATTGATCCATCCTCCGCCAGAACCATGAACTGATGACAGCACTGAAAGTAATCCAACCAAGAGAAGACCAAAAACAGCCATTTTCCTGCAAAAAGAAAAAAAGGGCGGTTTTTTAGCATTTTCTTAGTACAATCAAGATACTGAACTGCTTTCAGTCCATGTTAAATATAAGCACAACAAAATAGAAGAATGCGAGTTGAAAATGGCAAGAAAATTACATCGAGTTTGGGCCTTCAAAAAAAGGGCTAGAGAAGAAATGTGAAGTTGAATGAGGAAAATGAGGAAGAGGGTAAGGAATATAAATAGAGGTGGAAGCTGCGAGGGTTTGGTCGCTTGGGCATCTTTTAGTTACAGTCACTATTCACACAACTGAACTTTTAAGGATGTTGGGACCAACAACTGATTCTGTAAACCACCAAATAACCTCTCTTTTTTTCCTCAGATTCTATTCTT